TTCTGGCTGGCAGTGCTTTAGCAGGGGCTCCCCTGGCAGCTGCATTTGGGCACTTTCACAAGCAGGGTGAGGACATTTTCCTGCTCTGGGGGTCCAAGAGCCCTTCCCCTCTCTGCCTGGAGCTGCCAAGCTTGCTGTGCTGGATGGCAACTTCAGGATATTCAGGGTGTTCCAGGGGCAAATCTACATTTGGCAACCTTAAATTCCTCATTTTTCTGCGTTTGTGAGGTCAGTGCACAGTTCCTGATGATCTTTATTCAATCTGGAGCTGTTTTTTCATGGCAGATCCAGCCCTGTGAGCTGCTGGCAGTCCCTCTATCCCTTTCCTGCCATCCCCAGCTTTGGGCTCCTGCTGTTTTCTCCCACCCTGGAGCCCAGCTGACCCCAGAGCAGGCAGAATTTGGTAACCCTGCAGAGAATTCAGCAGTTCCTGGTCTGTGGGGCAGCTCGAGGGAGGTGTGAGCAGCAGGATGGGGTATCCCAGGTGCTGTCCTGCTGCTGTGGGGCAGGACCACCCTGCAGTGTCCCCTGGAGGTGACAGATGACTGTGTAAACATAATGCAGCTCCCTTCTCTCTGCCTGCATTAAACCTGCTCTGTTTTCTCTGCTTCTTTTTTCCTCCTCTGGAATCTCTTTCCCCTTTATCTCTCTTCACTAGTTCTTGCATTAATGCATAATAGGAAACAGAAGGCAAAAACCTGCTGGTCCCAGCTGAGGTCTTGGCTTTAAAGTCTTAAAGAAAATAATATTGAGAACTCTCCAGATCAATGTTCTGCTGAAAAAGTTTTCCCAAACTAATCCAAGGAAGGAGCACAGTGTAATGTTTCTTTGAGGTTGAAAGGAGAAAGTGCTAATTTCATGCAGAAAAGATTGTATCTTGGACTAGCATAGGAATAGAAAATAAATTGGTATTAAATTACATTCATCTGCCTCAAAATAATCTAATAAAGCATCTTCTGGATCAATAGCTGAATCATTATCCCAGGCACATAGCAAGCTTTGCCTCTTTTAATTTGAGATTCAAGAAAAGAGGTTTTTGCATTACCATAGTAAAAAGAATAATACTTCTTCATAAGAAGAAGGCAGAAGTAGGAAAAAAAAAAGATAAGAACCAGACTCAGTGCCTTAAGCAAGTGTCATTCTTCATTTGAAACTTGCAATTTATGGGTAGTGTAAAATAAATTTTTATATTTAATGACTGTCAATCTGTCAGCTTTGCTGACAAAAAAATCCAACAACGCAGAGTGAAAGGACTTTGTGTGCAGGAAGGGAGGAGAAGGGCAAAACAAGGCTTTCAACAACTTTGTTCTCCTAATTAAGGCTCACTAGGGAAAAAAATAGGAAAGAGATGGCACAGTTCTGTCCTGAAAATGCAGTTTCATCAAAAGAAAATGAGATGTGCCAGTGTTGGCTGCAGTGTGCACAGTCCAAACAAGGCTGACGTGGAGAAAAACTGCAACCACATGCAGATTGTGGTCAAAAAAAGCTGGAATCACGGGAGTGTGGATTCCAAATACTGCAAAGGAGCTGAGTTTATCAAAACATGGAGTAAATACAGAGAGAACATGGGCAGAATAGGCAAAAGCAGACTAAATGTGTGTGTCTGGTTATTTAAAGCATTGAGACACCAAATAGGTGCTGAAGAGTGACCTCAGAAATGACATGAAGGATGTGATAAAGGTGAGGTTATTCCTGAGGCTGGGAGGGCTGGGTGGGCACTGTCAGCCTGGGACGGTCCTCAAATTTCTGTCTTGAAAAAGCAGATTTTTTTCATTTCCCTGCAATCAGCCTCCCTGTAATATATTCATTAATGCAGCAGGTGGAACAGGGAGTACAATGTAAGTCCAGGGCACCAAGCTGGGAAGAGATACAAACAGTACAGAGCACTGAATCACAGCTCCAAATGATCTTGATAAGTGGGAGAAATGATCTGAAACCAATAGCCTGAGCCTCCCTGCAGGGAGGAGGAACTGAGGAAGGTGAAATCAAATACATCAGGTGGGAGCAATCCATGAGCAGCTGCACAGCACTGCAGGAATTTGGGAAAATGGGCTGGGGGGACCCCCACAGGCAGCAGATGTGGTAAAGGGAGGGCAAAGCCAGCCTGGACAGAGCTTGGAGCAGCCTGGGCTGGTGGAAGGGTGGAATCAGATGGGATTTAAGGTCCTTCCAACCCAAACCATGCTGGCATTCTGCCTCTGGTTATCCCAACACTCAAATGAGCAGGAGTTTGCTGCTGGAGGTGCTGATGCCAAGAGCTTTTGTATCTTGCCAAGCAAGAGGGGCACAGGGGCTGTGCTTCAGTTTGTTATCCACTCTGCTTTCAAGTTATTGTCCCACAGGAATTTGCTTGGAGCATTTCCTGCAGAGAGCTGGCAGTGCTCGTGGCTTCTGGTGTTCCCTGTCAGCATCTCTGTGTGGGTGAGGAGCAAACCAAGCCAAAACTTTTGATGAGGAGTGTTTGCAAAAGAACTCAAAGCTTCCCATGGCCCTGTCTTGGGTGGGGATTGGAGCTGGGCCTTGAGCTGGTGACAGATTTATGGGATTTTTCCCAGAGCCTGGATGGTGTTGCTAGTTTCCAGTGGAACAGGATCCCACGAGGGTGAGTGGCTTTGGAGCTGTTGCCTGTGGAGCCACGTGATGGGCTGAACTCACAGCTCTGGAGCAGAACCCATCCCTCCAGAAGAGCAGCCTTTGCTCCAGGAAGTGCACACAGACACTGCAAGAGCTGATTTTTTTCCTTTTCTTTCAACCTTCCACCCCTGGATTTGCTTTGTTCCAACTTTCCATGGATCCTGCAGCTTTTGGGCAGCTCTGACACCACAATTCTCAGGCCAAGGAGTTTGGTTTTCATGGTGTTTCAGCATTGTCAGGCTAACAACTCCAGCATGTGCAGCACTGTGGAGGATCCATCTGATTGTTCCTGAGCCTCTTGCTTTTCTTCTGGAGCTGCTGGAAGGGAAACTTTCTCCACATCAGCACAGGTCTGGGGAGGGCTACAGCTCCTGCCCTGCTGTCATCTCTGTTCCTGAGTGCCTTCCATGACCCTTTGGTGAACAGTGACCTCTTGTCAGCCTTGAGATCTGTGTTTGCCTCTTCTGATGTCTCCAGCTCTGTCTTGAAACACTCACAGGAACTGAGTGTGGGATTTGTAATTCCTGAATCCTGCCTGGTTGATCCTAGAGGAGGAGGAGGAGGAGGAGGAAGGGGAGAGCCTCCTGTCTGTGCCACTCTTCAGCTCCTCACATTCCTCAGGCTCCAGTTCCAGCTTTGGACCCCCACTCTGCTGCAGGTGAGGAGGAGAATCTCCCCCTGGGGCTGTGCCTTTGGTGTGGGGAGCACTTCTGAGGAAGCACAGAGGGTTAAATCCATTTCTGAACCAGCATGGGAACACTTGTGAGGAAGCACAGAGGGTTAAACCCACATTTCTGAAGCAGCCCAGGGAACCAGCATGGGAACACTTGTGAGGAAGCACAGAGGGTTAAACCCACATTTCTGAACCAGCCACAGGCAGTCACATGCACTAGGGAGATTTTGCAAGTCCCTGCGTGCAGCTCAGGGTGAGAAGGGGGAGCCAGGGGAACAGGGCTGGGTAGTCCCTGCTCCAGCAGGCACAGGGGACACAGGGACCTCACCCAGCACCTTCCTGCTTGGAGGTGGCACAGTGTGGCACCTGTGCAGTGCACAGTGGGACAGTGGCACCTAAAGGACAGGGAGGAGGAGGAGGCTGAGCTGCATTCCCAGCACCAGGTAAGGCTCTGCTGGCTGCTCTGGGAATGAGGCAGAAGGACCTGCTGGGTGTTTCTCTGCCGTTTAGTGAAGGCTTGGAGGTGTCCAAAAAACAAGGAAGTGAATTGACCAGAGGGGTGCTGGCATTGCATAAAGAAAAAGAAGAAATGAAGAGAACACAGAGCCTGGGAGGGCAGGAGAGGAGAGGCTGCTCCTTGAGGTGCCTCAGGAGGGATCAGAGGGAGCTTTGGGGGGATCCAATCCCCCAAATGGGCAGTTCTGCAGGGAAAGGCAACACAGCCAAACTGTGCTGCACTGAGAGGTAAAAACAAAGCTGCTTTGGCTGAGGAGCTCCCAGCATTTCCCTCCTGGGGATGGCTGGGCTGCTGCACCTTCACTGTCACCTCCTGTCCTCCAAAGCCCCCAAGTCCTCATCATCTGAGCCAGAGAGCCTGGATTCATCTCCAAATGGATGTGCCAGCAGCAGCAATGGGGTGGTTGGTTCTAACCAGGTTTTTCTTCAGTTTTTAATTAGGTTTTTCTTTAGTTTCCTCTTTGCTTCTGTCTTCTGGGGGCTTTTCTGTCTTGATTTTACACTCCCTTCTGTTGGATGGCAAAAGAGGGAAAGGAGTGAGAAAATCCAGTCTGATTTTGGTGCTGGGATGTGCCCCGTGACACGTGGTGCCCATGATCCCCATGGCAGAGCTGTGCCCAGGGAACCTCTCCTCATCTGTGCAGGTGAAGAGCAGGTGCTGTGCCCATCCTGTGTGCACACATTCCTTGCTTGGATCCTGTAAGTTTTCAGGGATCCTTTAAGTTTCAGATTTTTAAAGGAGTTTTCAGTCCTTTGGGTTTTTTTTCGCTGTATTTCCATGTTTTTCCCTTGTATTTCCATGTTTTCCCCCTATGTTTCCATGTTTTTCCCCTGTGTTTCCATGTTTTTTCCCTTGTGTTGCCATGGTTTTTCCCCCTGTGTTTCCATGTTTTTTCCCTTGTGTTGCCATGGTTTTTCCCCCTGTGTTTCTATGTTTTCCCCTGTGTTTTCCTGTTTTCCCCCTGTGTTTCCATGATTTTTTCCACGTTGTTTCTCTTGCCTGTGTTTCCTTTCTGACATTCTTCAAGCAGGGACTGTCCTGGCTTTGTGCAAGGGGGTAAATACAGCCACAACCATCAGAAAAAAATAGAAAAAAATAGAAAAAAATTCAGAAACAAATCAATCCCCTTTGGAAAGGAGAGTGGGTGAGATCTGTGAGGGATTCCTCCCACCGGGAGACAGCAACAGGCTCCTGGTTTGAGCAGAGGTTAAAAAGAAAGTGGTGGTTTTGGAGAGCTGGAGTGAAAGGCAATTGAAAAATAAACTCCAGAGTCTTCCAAGCATTTAACAACCACCCACAGGTGCTGGCAGGAGGTTGGAGAGCTGTGTCAGCAGGGGAAAAACACCTGGAAAACCTTGGGCACTGTGCCTGCTGGGAGAACTTCCCTGAGGAGAGGGGAGGGGAAGGAAAAGAAAGGAGAGGAGAATGGAAAAGAGAGGAGAAAGGAAAAGAGAGGAGAAAGGATAAGAGAGGAGAGGAGAAAGGGAGGGAAAGCAGAGGAGAGGGAAAACAAAAGCAGAGGTGAAGCCAAGGGAAAGGGAGGAGAGAGAAAAGAGAGGAGATGGGAGAGGAAAGCAGAGGAGAAGGGAAGGGAAAGCAGAGACCCTCAAAGGCTTCACTGCTGTGGGTGGGAGCTCCTGCTTGACTCTGCCTTCAGCAGATGCATTTTCTGCCCCATCTGCACTTCTCCCCTCCTGTGGTGAGGATCTGTCCCTGTGTCACTTCCAGGGAGGGGCATTTCCACCAGCTCCAGGTTCTTCTGAAGGTGATGGCAAAGAGGCTTGGCAAGGAGAAACCCTGCCTGTTCCTTGCTAATTGCTTGCAAAATGTGAATGCTGATGGATGTCAGGATAATTTAAGGAATGTTTAAGGATAACTTTTCCACCTCTCAACAAAAACCAGACATAAAAAATGAGTCAGTGTGTACTGAGCTCACACTGGCCAACACCAGGTGCTGACATCCCCCAGGAGCAGAGTCTCTGTTGTTATCCTTTATTTGCTGTCTCTGCAAAATTTGGGATGTTCTTTTTTCTCTTTTCAGGGCTCAGAAATGCCTCGTCGCTCATGGGAAGCAGGAAGGCAGCAGTGGGAGTGAGGGTTTCACAATCTGCTCCCCACTCAGCTGCTGTGGGGCTGCTTGGTGCTTCCCAGCAGGGAAAGAGAGAAATGCTGAATTAGAGAGAGAAATGCTGAATTTCTGACCAGAAAACACAGAATCCTTCAAGGAGAAACACCTTCAGCATGGCCCAGAAAAGCCAGACTGGTGGAACTGAGAAAAATGGGTCCTCCCTCCTGTACAGCAAGAGTGATCTCAAGGAAGGAGCCCTGCAGTGGGTGCCAGGTAAGGGAGCAGCTCATTGCTAAAGGGAGAGGCAGATCTGATCTCAGTGTCCTTAAAATAACCACTGACAGATTTTACAAAAGATGCTTTTTAACAGCATCTCACTTGTGAAGGTACCAAAACACTGTGGATGTTTCAGCAGTTTGGGAAGGGGATGGGGATGCTTTGAGGTTTTTTTTTTTTAATGCCTGATATGCAGGAATGAACAAATCAACCTATAGAAAAGCAGCCCCTGCAAGGCCTCTCCTCTTGACCTTTGAAGCTGAGAAATCTTTGGGAAACTTGACCTGTGCTGGGGGCAGCAGGGCAGGGGGGATTGTGCCCCTGTGCCTGTGC